AAAACAGGTTGAGCAAGGGCATACTCAAGCCCTCTTGCCGTGTCACAGGCTACATATAAAGTGTCTGAACGAATGTCATTTGCCCCTCCAGGGAGTACGATCTTGCATAAAAATAAGGCCAAATATGTGGCCAAAAAGACACAGTCATTACTGGTCTCGGATTGATAAGCAGGAGGTGTCCCCTTTACAACTGCCATCCCTTTCCCCCTTAGAGTACCTCGACCCATTTCAGGGTAGTCGCCACTAGTTAGGTGCCTCGATCTCGCCCTCCCGATCTTTTGAGGATCGGACGAAACGCGTCTTGGTTTCAGGGAGACCTAGGACTTTTTAAGATTGCTCTCTCGGGAACCTCGTTTGAGAACGAGGGCAAGTGTTACCAACCGGTGAGAGAGGAATTTAAGGTGCAGTACTTACTCTGGTTGGCTCACAAGGACGCCCTCAGATCACGAAGAAAGCCCCCCAGTAATAAAACTGGTTCGGAATCGCCTCCTTTGGCCTGTATTCTCTTGTTTTTTACAATCACACACATATGGTAAAGGGTATAAGACAGGTGGGTCAGACCTCACCTTTTTCTCTTTGGTGAACATTCAAAAGAAGAAGAGAAGAATAAGAGAAGAAAGATGGGGGAGAGAAGACTTTGACTAAGCGAGGAGATCAGCACAATGACTAAATTGGTGAATAATTGGCTTGACGTGGTAATAAAATGGGCTCGGCAACTCAAACCGGCTCACATGATTACTACTAGATGTCAATACCGATATGGACTAGCTAGGCATGATTGTTAGTCTGTTGTGGCAATAAAGCGGGCACATAAATTCTGGCACAACAACATTAAGGCTAGACGATAAGACCATCATAAGAGGGTAATCTCAACCCTTCTTAATCAAACGAAAGGATAACAGAAAGAATGAAAGTCATAAAGGGAGAGTAAGAAGTACGAGAATAAGAAAGAGAAGAGAAAGAAAGAGACGAACAGAGAAAGAAGGAGAAGAGTGTGAGAGAAGAGAGAAGGAAGGAGAAAAGAGGGTGAAAGACACAGTCGGCGCTAGGCATCGCCGATTGGGTTGTAAAGAGAAGAGAGAAACAGACACAGTCGATGCTAGGCTTTGTCGACTATGTTTAAGAAGTGAGGAGAGAGAAGAGGCAGTCGGTGTTGGGTATCGTCAGCTCGGTTGGAAGGAGAAGAGAGAGAAAAGATGTCATCGGTGCTAGGCTTCACCGATTGTGCTGGACACAGAAGAGAGAGAGGATGCAGATGGTGTTAGGCTTCACCGACTATATTGGACAAAGAAGAGAAAGAAGATGTAGTCGGTGCTTGGCTTCTCTAATTATATTACACAGATAAGATAGAGAAGACACAATCAACGCTAGGCTTCACCAACTGTGTTAGACATAAGAGAGAGAAGGTGCAATCGATGTGAGGCTTCATCGACTGTGTTAGACTGAAGAGAGAGAAGACATAGTCAGTGTTAAGCTTCGCTAAATGTGTTAGACAAAAGAGAGAGAAGATGCAGTCGACATTAGCATTCACTGACTGTGTTAGATAGAAGAGAGAAGATGCAATCGGCGCTAGGCTTCACCAACTGTGTTAGGCAAAAGCGAGAGAAGACGCAGTCGGCGCCAGGCTTCATCGACTGTGTTAGACTGAAGAGGGAGAAGACGCAGTTGATGCTAGGCTTCACCGACTGCGTTAAATAAAAGAGAGAGAAGATGCAGTCGGCTCTAGGCTTCGTCGACTGTGTTAGACTGAAGAGGGAGAAGACGCAGTCGGTGCTAGGCTTCATCGATTGTGTTAGACAGAAGAGAGAGAAGATGCAGTTGGTGTTAGGCTTCGCCGACTGTATCAAAAGAAGAGAGAGAATATGTAGTTGGTGCTAGGCCTTATCGACTGTGTCAAAAGAAGAGGAGAGGGAAGATGCAGTCGGTGCTAGGCTTCACCTACTGTGTCAGAAGAAGAGGAGAGAGAAGATACAGTCGGTGCTAGGCTTCATCGACTGTGTCAAAAGAAGAGAAGAGAGAAAAGAGATAGGGATGAGAAGAAGAGAGAGAAAGAGAGATAGAGATGAGAAGAAGAAAGAGAAATAGATAAAAATGAGAAAAAGAAGGTTGGAGAGAAAAAAAGAGGAGAGAGAAAGATATGAGAGAAAGAGGGGAGGAGAGAGAAAGTTACCTTACTGAAAGGAACTGACCCTTTTCTTTTCTCTCCTCTCTCTCTCTCCAAGACATACCCACGAGCTCAAGAAAAATTCAGAACTTTATTGAATGATCCAAGAAAAATGAATTGGCCCTCTTTTTACAATGAGGAATTGCCTGTTTATATAGAATTGAGCTAAAACGTGGGTGTACGCCCAAACACTACCTAGAATTGAAGATAATTTCAATTTAATTGAAGTAAAAGAAATTCTAAAAATGGGTGCAAAAGGATTGTTTTGCCCCTGCCTAACAATGTGTGGAATTTCAGAATAATCTGTGTTGCTCCTCCAGAACTTGTGTGATCTTCCATGATGGATCCAGGGTTGTTCTGATGCCCATTTGATCGAAAGATAATTGTTTTCTTGTGAGGCTCGACATGGCAATCGATTTGATACCAACTTCGAGCCATGAATCATGTTTTTAAACCATGATCATGAGACTTGAATTTTGGATGAATCTTGAAAACTTTGGATCTATTGTGTGTTCGTTTCTTGATGTTTCTTCATGGTTTCTTCACTGAATCACACTGAGCCTGCCGTCACAGTCACGTTGCAACAAACACAGCTTTATTTCGTGTCTGGATGAAGATTTCGTCATCTTGAGTTTTTGATCGGAATCTTGAAATCCAATGACCAAAATTTACAGCAGCTTTGAAGCCTCCGTGTGTGAAATCCAACTGTTCATCGTACATGAGGTTCGGGGTAGAAATGGCCCTAGACCTTACGCACATAATACAATTGGTTTTGTGCCGATCGGGTATGCGGGCGTCGTGATTTGGCTACCGGAGTGAGGCATGCTACTGCTGAATTTTTCGTAACTTTCTTCATGTATCAGCAGCTTCCTTCTAGTTTTTCTCCTTGCTCGAGCATCATCACGGGGCATAACACATATTGAATCGTTCGTCTTGATGAGACGAACATGCTCACCAACTTTGAGCACAATCCGATGTTGAACAAGTGAGATATAGGCCTTGAAAGTGACGGCCCATGACTGTAAAAGCATCCACTTTTAATGGTGTTTTGGTATAAGGTGGCCACACGGGGAGTAGTGTGCGACCTACCCCTTTTCAGTATTTTTCTCATAACTTTGTCCCGAAGCACTCGATTAAGCCAAAACTTGACCCATAGGGGTTTTAAACCATGCCATATCCAATGACGGTTGTCCCAATGCTGTTTGATGTACCAAAAATATAACTCTAGTTGCAGGGTCCATTTCAGGGTGCTAGAGGTCGATTTTGCCGAAATTGTTTCTTTATGTTCACTGCCTTGGACATGTCTGATTGTGATAAAACTTGGCAGGTAGTCTCTCGAAGTGCTAATGAAGATCTTGACCAATTCTTGGATAATTTTGAGATTGTTGGAAAGTTAATCAATTGTAACTTACACCTAAACGAGGAGTGCAAAGATGATTTTATCAAGCTTGGCAACATGGTTGAAATCGTGCGACTTAATAAAGACAATAAAATCGACATGAATAGATCAGATGAATGGAATTTATATGCTATGAGCAAGAAAAGTCTTTCTTGCCAAAGACCAAAGTAATTCCCTTTTCAATGTAATGGCCTGCTATGTAACTTGATTTGTTTGAACTTTTTGATTGGTGGCTGATGGTTTTGATACTACTTGGGCAGTTAATTTTCAGTGCTTTTGATCATCTAATAACGGCACAGCACTTGTAAAATGCATTTGATATTCCATTCACCATTAAATGAATTGTTTGTATAACTGTAATTGGGCCCATTCCCATTGTGATGGCAACTTCTATGATGATGTCCCTAGCACACTACCTTAAACCTGTCCAAGGATGGATTCCTCTTATTCCAAAATTCATAATTGCTCTTCTAGAGCACACTTTTCATGGACTTCATTCCAAACCAGTTTAACCTCTCTGAAAAGATGAAGGGAAGTGCAACCAGAAGCTGTACATTCTATGTTTCATCGTGTGCTCAATTCTTTTGGCTGGCTCCAAAAACTGGGAGATAGTAGCATTAGTTTGTTCTTCTAAGTCAGTTGTCTCTGGTAACTGACTTACTGAACCAGTGGGTTTTTCTCAAAGGTAATTCGCAGAAAACTTCGAGCAGAACTTTGAATACCACTTGATTATGGTTCGCATGGAGTTTTGATATGAACTATCTGTAACCCACCCATCAAAACCGTCACCTCAAATGAAGTTCCCTTTCAAAATTCCTTGCTGATTACCACTTGAAATGGTGGCTGGTATTTCAGGGTGCCTGTGATCGATATGTTTGCTAGACCCATGGTTCTCAAGTCTGTAGAAAGAGTTTCATTCAGTGGTTGCATAGAAACTGATGGTCTTTGGGTCAGCTAATACTTAAGACTTCTGTCCCTGTCAATGATAGAAATAAGCTCTGATAAGATTGAAAATGTGGATTTCATCACCATTCTAAAGTTTTATGACCCCAGTGTAGAATGGATTGATATTTCTTGGCATAAAATGGTCGTATACTGCATAAGCGTGATGCATGCCAAAGTGAAGATCAATTACTTGTATTAGGAATTGATGTGCTAGTGCATATGGGGAACTCCTGCAATGACTCTTAGAGAAATATGTCCCATATTCGATATTTGTAGTACTTGCCTTCTATATACTTTTTCCTTGCATTTGCTTGTCCATAATCCGAAATGAAATATCAGATATCTCTTTTATTCATTGTATTCATGCATAACATTTGTCAGCAATTGAAATGCCTTCTATATATCCAGTTATTTCTTGCTTTGTGGAAAGAAATGCTGAACTGTGCTTTCCAATATGTTGACCTTGTTACTTATTCATTGGTATCTTTGTAGGTTTGTCTGTAGTTTACTTATCTGGCCGACGCTCATCAAATGATCAACTAATCGGAGCATTTAATGGTGATGACATTGATGCATTGCGAGCTTTGGCTGAAGAACCTGGGATATTTGATCTGTTTCTAACATATCCTTATTGATGCAAACACAACATCTATTGCATGCTTGGATCTTGATAAAGTTCCAATAGGTTCGGCTTTATTTGTTTTTTTGGAAATGATGGAAACATCTGTCTATCTATTACTATTTTATATATAAAGTGAGAGGAGGACCCCTTTTATTCTGGTGCCAAGTGTCTTTTTCATTTTCCATTTTAATTCCCTTAATTTTATATTATTTCTATTTTGTCCTTGTATTCATTCTTTTTATTGAGTCTCTCTCCTCTATTTAGAGATTTTATATTTTATTCTCTCTCAATGACCTCGCTCTCTCTCTTCTCTCTCAACAAGTTGTTTCTCTCTCATCTCTCAACATATTATCTCTCTCTTCTCGAACTCTATTTACTCATTCTCTCGGTTATTTTTATTTTTATCTTTAATGATATATCTCTACGCTCTCACCTATTTATTAATTTGATATGCATGCGAACTATATTTAAGGAGCTCTATTTATTCTCTATTATTTCTATTTTGGCCTTTAATGATCTCTCTCTTTGGTTGTTGGCTTTCTCACCTCTTTATTGTAATTAGAAATGCTTGCAGACTATATCTATGGAGATTTTATCCTCTCTCCTCTCTCTCCTCTCATTTGTTCTCTACCCCCATTCTATTTACTCTCTCATCTATTTATGTAGGTTTTGTTTTCTCTCCTCTCTCTCGACAAACTTTCAATTCTCTCTATTTCCTCTATCTATTTTTTGCCCTCTCAATGGATTATTCACTCTCTTTCTCTCTTAACGAACTCCCTCTCTCTTTCTTCTCTCTCAACTGACTTGCTTGCTCTCTCTTCCCCCCAATCTTTACTTACTCTCCTATATTTATGAATATTTTAATCTCTATCTCAACCAACTCCCTCTCTCTCTCAACCGATTCTCTCTCTCTCTCTCCCCCCAAAGAAAAATTAAACATTCTTAACTCTCTCACCTATTTATTAGTTTTCGATGTGCATGAAAAGTTTTTGGAAAGGACTCTTCATTAGATGTGCATGCAAATTCTTTTTAGTGCATTTAATGAGGAGAAACCAAGGAAGAGATGACCATTATGAGCTTTCGTTTTCTTTGTTCTTTTTAGCCCTAACAGGGATGTCCCTTTTTCGCACTAAAAACATCTATAAATCTTGCTTCAAATGTTACATTACAGGAGATATGCTCTCTCTCTAATTAGGTATGTTTATTTTTCTTTTCCTTATATTGTTTTCTATTCAAATTCATGTTTTATTGCTTTTCTTTAATGGTTTTTGAGAGTACGTAGATTACCTTTCTCTCTTTAAAAACTTTCATATTTTGCTTCACATGTAGGTCAAAGAAACTCTCTGTTTCATGCTAGAAATTATTTTTGACGAGTAAAGAATTATATGTGAATACTAATGGGTTTTTGAAGGGGATTGGTTGAGAAAATCATGTATTGTTAATTATCAATACTAAATAAAATTATTATATTTCATGATTTTGATTATACAAATTATATATAGTTTGGCGAGTAATATTGCTATCCAAATTTAATAATATATTTTGATAATTGCTATTTGCACCCCCTCTTTCTCTCTAGATCCCTTCTTTCTCTTGCAATTTTTTTTTGGGTATTCTGAAATAATAATTAGTATTCTGAAATAATAATTAGTATTCTAATTTTGATTTTTATATTAGAAAAAGGAATACTAATTTATTGTAATATTCATTACAGTAATGATATTATTTTTAACAATAATGTCAATTTAAGTATTATTATAACAATTACAAATTATAACACTATTATATTTAATTGAATTAATTGTCATTCGTTATTGTATTATCATTCAAAATTAGAATAAAAAAATTTCAAGACTTAGTAATTAAAAACAAAGAAATTTGCGTTCCTTATTAAATACTAATTTAATTCTATAAATAATAAATTAGTATTCTATAATGACTTGAATATAGAAGACTTTTTTTTTGTCCAATTTTTTTAAAATTATTTTTTTTGTTTTTTAAGGGGATATCTAGGATTTAGTAACTAAAAAAAAAAGAATTAGTAATTAAATATGTATTTTAATAAAATTATAAAAATAAAATAAATTTATTAATTAAAAGGAAAATGGCGCATTGCACTAAAGCTCTCTTTGTAAAAACAGATTAAATTTTCCCATTTCCACTGCATCCACTTTATAAAATTATATTTTCTTAGTTTTTTTGGGTAAGTCATTGGAGTAGAAGCCCCCTTGCCCGTGCCAAATCATGTAGTAAAAGAAGAGAGATAGTCAGGTGGAAAACTACGGCAAATAGTGGCTCTCGTATAAACCGATCCTCTCTTAGCGAGAGCATCAACTACCATATTCACCTCGTGAAAAGCATGAGCTATAGACCACCTGTGAGGCGATAACGTTTTAGACAAATGTAAACTATCGTTTGTAATCTCTAAGGGGCACGATGTTGATTTTTAATGCCATCTACTAATAGAGATGAGTCACTCTCTATCTCTATCGGGAAGCAGCCCTTTTGAATAACGAAAAGAATACCTTCTTCTAGATCTTAGAATTCTGCAAAATTATTGGACGCAAAACCAAAGAATTTAGCAAACGCCGCCACAAATCCACCATTGCAGTTTCTTATGTCCCCACCACCGCCTGCCAAACCAGGGTTGTGCAAGGCCACACCATCAATGCTCAGCTTATAACAACGAGCTTCCGGAAGTGACCATGCGACTGGGATCTTGCATTTTGGCTTCAGCTAGCGCCACTTAATCTGTAGATTGTGAATAATCACCTTTTCTTAGATGAAAGGCCCATTTTTTAACTTATGCAATGACCTTTACATGTGAAGCAATCCGAATGACAACCTGCTCTCTTCTTGATGCATTAGCTCGAAAGATTCTTCTGTTTCGCTCCTCCCACAGATACCAGATTGTCGTGAAGAAGATAGCCGTCCAGATGTTAAGAAACCCCTCTTATTTGAATCTGAAGGCTAGCCAACTACGAAGAGTATTCTGGCCCCAAGTTCCAAGCACAAACCTCTTACCACATTGCCAAGCTAAAAACCGCCAAATACCTTGCGAGAAAGTGCAATGAAACAGGAGATGACATAGGTTTTCTTCATTGTTCATGCAAAAAAGACAGATATTTGCCATATGAATAACCCGTTGCTGAAATATGGATGTAGTTAGTAGTCGATTGTGCATAGCTAGCCAGGAGAACCACTTGGCCCGTGGATGACATTTGGCTGACCAAAGAGCACGAAATACAGGTTGAGGTGAGCTTTTATAATGAATAAAGTTCCATGCTTCTTTGATTGAAAGGTTTCACTACCAGAATGGATCCATACCAATGAATCCTTCTTATGCAGCAATGGAGGATATGACGTTCCACATCTCTCCATATGCTGTTCAACAAAATGGAGGAAGATGAAGGCAATGCCCACGAATGGGGGCTACCATCAATAAAATCAGAAACCTTTCGCCCTCTAAGATTTCCCAAATCCATATGTACATTATCTTCCAAAGAATCCCAAATCGACTATACTGACAGCCATGGGTCCTTCAAGAAATCCACCATCTGTCCATTACCAATGCACCACTGAACATTGTCCCTGAGTTGAGATAATCCGAAATGAATGCCCTTCCATGCATGAGAACAACCCCTCTTAGCTACAAGCTCCCAAATGGAACACACTCTGAAATATCTGTGCTTGAAAAAACAGGCAACTACAGAAGATGGATTTGCTAAAATTCTCTAGGCAAGTTTCATCATACCCGCAGTATTGAAGTCCATGAAATCTCTCAACCCCAGCCCACCCTCCTCTCAAGGAAGGCATACTGTCCTCCATTTAACAAGATGGACGCCCTTATTTTCTGCAACTCTTGCTCATAGAAAATTCTGTTGAAGCCTCTCTATCGTATTACAAGTTTTCCTTGGCAGCATAAACAACAATATCCAGAAAATAGCAGAAGCGTTAAGAACTGACTTGAGCAATTGAAGGCGTGCTGCATAAGATAAGCATAAGGTTTGCCATGTACCTATCTTACCGATCATCTTTCCAACCAAGCTCTGACAGTAACTGTGTCGTAGATGCCCACGAAACAGTGGTAACCCTAGATATAGCACCGGCAAGTAGCCTTCATTGAACCCTAGCTCTATCAAAATCTGTGCTCGATTACCTTGTTGTACCCCAAATATGAAAACCTTGCTTTTCACAGAATTTAACATTTGGCCAGCAGTGTTTTCAAAAGTAGTGATAATCGGCTTCATAGAAGTGGTAGAGGCATAGGATGCCCTACAAAATATAATAGCATCATCAACATAGAATAAGTGGGACACCCCATTGTTGCACCCAGAGGGGAAGGCTCTGGGTATCAATCCCTGCAACATAGCCTGGTCTATTTGCCTACTAAAGAAATCCATGGCTAGTAGAAAAAAGATATCTGCTTAGTTGCGAGGCTTTTACAAACCCTATTAGACAAAAAAAAGATAAAAGAGCGAGAAGCAATGCTCAACCTACATATTTTATGATATGTTAATATTAATAACGTCGGCTCCATTATCATGTTCATGTTTTTGTAATTAGGAAATTCATTCTTGCAATATATGGGCTCTCTTATGATGGATTATAAATATAACTTCTCTCATTAGGTTCTTCCCACGCCCTCCTCTCTCTCTCTCTAAATTTTCATAAATTTTTAATTTTACTCACCACAAAACTTTATGAGTTTTTTTTGGTGATAGGGAATTGCATTATGATTCTCATTTTTCACTTAGATACATTTTATTCTATTTTGTATTAATCAAGTAATTCTTATGCTTCTTAATATTAGCATATATATGTTAACATAATCTATAATTTACGAATATTTATCATAGTTTTATGCTTTGATTAACTTTTAAATCTATACAAATGAATTTTTGGACTAGATCCATTTTCCCATTTGTTGTAAAAGTAAACCTCATATGATTGTATTAGTACTTATGTAATATTATTACCCAGATAATGCACTGTCATTA